TTGATTATTAATTTTTTTAAATAAAAAAATTACATGTTTTTATCTTTCAAATGAATGTATTTTTATTATAATTGGTTCAGTGGTTGTGGAGTAATAATAGATTTACTTTTCCAAATAATTTTGAATCACACTGTATGTATTTGTAGAGAACAACGCATAAATAAATACATGTTATTAATATAATTTTATGTCTCACTTTGAAAATTAAAAAATGTGAAATGTTTCAAATTATTTGAGAAAATTACGGTGACGTTATACCATGTAAAAGCACAAGAATTTGTGCGATTTTTTGTAATCGGAATATGCTTTTATTACTACCTATACATTTAGCATGTTCTCAGAAGCTACTCTTCCGCAATGATGCACATTATAATGCGTGTGACCATAGAAAAAAATCTTTGAAAAATATATGCGTAAAAATAAAAGGTCCGAAATAATGATGAGAAACAAAAAAAAAGTGCATATAAAACAAAAATATTGCTAAATAAGAAAAACGCTGTAAAATCCGAAGCAAGATTTACATGTGTTCTGAGCTTACAATAATTTCAACAGGTAAAATTACTTGCATAAAATATTACTGTCGATTATTGCGAACGAGATGCGTGTTGTCTGGTAGCTTTCACTTTCCGAAACTAGACAATTATGGATCTTTGTAAAAACTGTGTCTTAATTCAGTGACTGAGCGAAGTCTTGAAAGTTCTATAAATGGACCATGTTGAGATTTAATAGTATCAATTCATCACGACCACCATGATTTTTAGCACGAAAAATCATTCAAAGAATCATTTTTGTTTCATAGAATCAAATATTATTAAAAACTTGAGATAACGAATTAATCTAATGAATGATTTATTTACTAATAGATCTGTTGTTCAATCGAATATTCGCTATATGAAATGATTGAAATATACCAATAAAAAGTAAAATGCTCTCGTAAGATTTTTATTCTTATACTTTCAAATATCATAATAAATTAATAATAAATATGCAATATAAGCTCATTTGAAAATAATTGTTACAATGTTCCCATTACCAAAAATTAATATTTTTTGACAGTTTTGATTTGTGATAATATTTTGCGACTTGATAGTATTTTCTTTTATGTTTATATTTTTTCTTCTTATATTTTGCTAGATTAATTATTATCATTTTTTATTTTCACTCTTTCTTTTAAATTTGGTTATTTTAATTTAACGTAATTCTAATTCATATTTGTTTTATAAGTTTCTTCTTTTTCAAGAAATATTCAATATAGACTCTTTTTATATAAAAAATCTATTAGTAAAAATTCACTATATTAAGAGGTTTGAAATTTAGCAAATCTACTATATCGAGATGAATTTTATTAGACAGTTTTGAATATTTATTGTTATAAAAGAGATAGAGTTAAATCTCTTTATAAACTAATATAGTAACATTTTTCATAATTCGAAAACGGGATTATATGATTACTGTATAAAATATAGCCAATTATTAAAAGTTAACAAATTTTAGTCTATATATTGAATTATAAAAAGCATTTGTCATATTAAGAATTTGTGATTTGAATTAAGCAGCATAATTATTTTTATTATATTGGATAATTTTATTTGAAATATTGTACTATATACAATCAAATTGCATCATTCTTGAGAAAACAAAATTGAATGGGGCTTGTCTGTATAGATTTTATTTTTTATATCAATAAATCTACATTATGCTTGAATTATTCAAACTGTAAAGCAATGATAAAAGCTATAAGTATTGATTTATTAATCTGCAATAAGAGATTCAATTTATAGCGTGGAGTAGATTACGATAATTCGACTGTGATTCTAAGTTTGATTTTTTCGAATATTGATTCAAAGATGTCCAAAGAAAAGTCATTCCACGAAAAAGAAATTACTCACGAGAAAATTGACTTTAATAGCTTGGAAGCCCATCTCTCACTTTTAGATAGATGCTTGGTTGACGACGAGATGGAAATTTGGCAGACTGATGAGAAATGCCAAAAACTTGTGTAAGAAACATATGGTGGAATTCTGATTTCTCCCTGTCTTTTTTTTTTGAGAACAATGTTTTTTTAATTCATTAATTTATTGAAGAGGAAAATATAGAAATCAAGTGAAAAAGACAAAAGACGAATCGATCAAATGGGTAAAATTGATCTCAGACGCGTTATCCATTGGCGAACAAGAACAGAAGAAGGTCGCGCACAAAGAGGATATAATGCAGAGTTTTCAGCGAATCCACGCCAAATTGAATGAATGTAATGAGAAGAAATTTTAAATTCATTATTTAATGAGATTTATTAATACTGATATTTAGAAATTATATTAGTGAAACAAATGATCAATAGTCATTTTGACCAGCATGTTGTTGATACACAAAGTGAGAAATATTTTTCCGCATTTTTCAATTACACTGCGTTTTATTTACTAATTATTTTTTCTTTCTTTAAAAAGTGATACAATTTCCTATTGAAGCTAGTTTCCTTGTGCCGTTTTCATTCGCAAAAAATTCACGTAATCAAGAAAACAAGAGCAACCAAGACGAAAGCGAACCAACATCACCGATTAAAGACGATGATGGTCAAGTAGAACTTGATGAAAAGTTTGTGCACCAATTTTTATTATCTTAGTTTTAGTCGAACTGTGATTTTTTTTATTAATATTTTTTTAATGAAGAGCATTTCGCAAAGTATTGGCCAATAGAATTCGCTATAATAGAACAAAAATCAAGGAATTGGCGAATCGGTGAGTTTATTCATCAATGTTTAGAGTCGTCATTATCTTAACCTTATAAGGGGAAATGGGTATTGTGACGAAAATGAGTCGATGTCAATAATTCTGCCTACCATCACACATTATGTTAATACCATTTTTTTTATATTGATACCTTTTCAAGATAGACTTTCGTCACAATACCCATCCTGTGTCAAAATACCCTAATTTCCCTTACAGAAATATTTATTATTGATATTTACGCCAGTGTCATAGCTCATAATCAATAGACGGTTCATATTAATCTCGTACACATACTTTGCTTCTAATCAATAAAACTTTCAAAATTTAATCTAGAACTGGCAACGACGCTTGAGTCATTTTGTTAACAATGTATTTGTTAATAATGAGACATGGGAACTTTAGCTGTCGCACATGGTTTCGTCAAGTTTACTATGTATGCTAAGACCGATGTCGTGTCTTTTTCTTTCTATGTTCCTTATTGGGAAATTCATATTGTGTGAAACTTTAAAATCAGTCTATAGTTATTAACATATATATATAAAACAGATATCAGACGCATGATTTAAATATATGTTTCATAGACAAAACCCGAGTACAACATAAAAAATTGATCTTAAAAAATGAAGAGACTTTATAAATGGGGAAGGTGTACTTTCAAACATTGATTAATTAATTAATTACAATCTTTCCCCCGAACTAAAACGAATTTATTTATTTTTTATGTAATTTTTTATTATTAATGAAATGCCAATCTCTTTCGGGTTTATTAAAAAAGTCACCAGACTAAAATTTAATTAATTTATTTTATCTTTATGTCATAACTGATAATCAAATATGGGTGCATGGTCACGATTGCATTATATTTCTGCAATGTAACGATGAAACAATAAAAGATTAGATTTTATTGCATGCAGAATTCAAAGTAATTCATGGCACGTCCTGTATGATGTAGTGGGTGGTGTGAAAAGAAAATCCCATTACACCATATTAGATAGATGATTTAAATTGAGAATTGGGTGGTGATGAGGCGGAGCCCTATCGTCATCATTTACAGAAAATGATGTATCATCAAAAAAATAAAAAGAAACCGAAAAAATTGTATCAAAAACATTACATATTTACGGTAGCACAAAGTAATAATAACAAACAACAAGAGGTAACAAATGAGAGAAAAAAAGTATAAAATTGCATGTGTTCTCACTGACATTTAACCCACCACCACTTCTCCTAACAAATATAGTTATTGCTTTTGATTACTCGTAACACATTTCATTAGATACAGACCGCCAAATTCCATATTTCCTCGTGAAGATCTTCAACAAACATCGGGTCCAACTTTAAAAAAAAATTCGAGTGCGTGCTAGATCAGGGTTTTTTTCCTCATATTCCCACATACGGTGAAGATCTCTAACGCATTATCATTTAGCAGCTGACCAAAAAAACATTCCAACAGAAATAATATCATCATCAGTCATAAATCGTCAACAGTCATACATTCATCAATTCATATTGGTGCATATCCCTACTTTTCACTATTTCCATAAATAGCAGTATTGCGTTTTGCATTTTGTGTGACTACGCCTCCTTTCCATTAACTTTATAAGAGTGCGAGAATCAACATCATCGTCCTTCGAACAGCGATTATTATTCTTTCCCTAATATTCAAACACTGCTGTCTACACTGAAAAAATAATAACGAAATCGATCAAATCAAAATTCTACGTCGGTTTACTATATATACACATAATTCTCAATACGGTATAAAAGCACTTGCTATTTTACATATACCCTGACGAATGAAAACATTCGAAAGATTGTAAACTTTTGCAATTTGTATAATAATATAATTATATATCATAATAACAACAACGACAACAACGACAACAACAACAATAACAACAACAACAACAACAACAACAATAAAATAATAATAACAATAACAATAACAACAACAATAATAATAAAAATATGACACCGATACCATCTCCCGTTTTACGTGCAGTTCCGCGTGAAGTAATCAACAAGCTATGGTCCCAACGAGTAACAAGACTTTCATTGAAACATTTGGCCACCGTTGGAAGGTAAGATAATAACTTTAATGTTAGTAATAATATGATAAAAATTAACCCATTTATTTATGCATAATCGTTAAAATAGACACGTATTAGAAACAAAAAATAATACCGGCTTTCTAATACCCGCCCAATTTCTCCATCAGGAACTTCCCATCCGCTTCTCACAAACATTAAAAATGCTAAACTCACCAAACATACCGCACAACATGAACAAAACACCCACCTTCCAACGATTCCGTGAAAAATACTATGAATACATTTGCCTGCTGGCGTCAAGCCCGAAACCGGACACTCTTGCGGCCGAGCAATCATTCACCGCGTTGATAAGAAACATTCAACGACAAAATCGGTTGAACATGCTTTCGTTTGGTCAGGCATTTAGGGATGTGCTCGAATCGACGAATACACCAATCGAGGCGTTGGATACGCCGGAAACGCGAGAATTTTTTGATAGGTTTTATGCAATGAATTTGGGTACTCGTATATTGATTGGCGAACATTTGGCGCTACATGATGAAGGCAGGAACTTGGTGCAGAGAATTAGCCCGTTACAAGTTGCTGAACGCGCTATTCGTGATGCGAGAAAAACATGTGAAAAGCATTACAAGTAAGTCTTATTATTTTTTTCTTTTCTTTTCTATTCTTTTCTTTACCTACGCTGTGTTTGTGCTTATATTGTTGATTAATTATCCAAATTAGACGTTCGGCACCAGAAGTAAAAATTGTAACGCCAAGCGCTTCAATAACCACCACATACATAGAAGAACACTTGCACCGTATTCTCTTTGAACTCTTAAAAAATTCCCTACGCGCCACTCTTGAATTCCATCACTCGAGCCCCTCACTCCCCGCAATAAAACTGATCATTGTCGATGGCGGCGAAGACGTCACAATTAAATTATCGGATGAAGGTGGTGGTATTCCGATATCTGCTTCGGAGAAAGTGTGGAATTATGTATATAGCTCAACGCCCAATTGTCCGACTACTACTGCAACTCAGAATTCTGAACAGAAAGTGCCACGAATCATATGGCGTTCGGATGAGGAAGGAATACGGCTTGAGGGTGAAGCGCAACTAAAGATTAATGATTATACGGATATGCCGTTGATTAGTTATGGCCATGGATTACCCGTAGCTAGGTTAACTGCTAGATGTAAGTATTTTCTTATATTAAAATTATAATCGAAAATACAACAATAATTGATAAGAATTATCTTTTTTCAGATTTTGGCGGTGATTTATCGCTCGTCTCCATGGAAGGTTATGGCACCGACACCTATCTTTCACTATACCGCGACGATACACATCTCGAAAATTTTCCCGAATTATTAAGCACCACTACTTTACAAACTATCCCGAATGACGGATTACGGTGGCTCAATAACGATAACGATGGTGTGATAATAAATGAATAGAATAAAAATTGACATTTGAACGACAAAGTATATCTATGTAAAATTAGTAATAAATAAAGTCATAGTACATTTTGAAAGCTAGATTTATTTTTTACATCCTTTTCTTGTATATACGATTCTATTACCCTTCTGCACCACACATAAGTTTTTTTTCTACTCGTTGTATTTCTTAGATTTTTCTATGTTTTTTTGTAATTTTGGTAATAAATATTTAAGATTTTCATCCACATGCGTAACATACAAAGTGCCCCCAAATCACGATCTGCCCAAAATAAGAGTATGGGTATAGGTTAGCACTGGAACAAAGAGAAAACTTGGTTGACCATATGCTATTGGGAGAGCAAAAAAAGAACTGATCGATTTATATTTGAGGCACAATATATCATTTACATACTTTTAAAGGTTGAACCAACATACAGTGCATTTACCTAACATTTACCCCTAAATTCTAATTTCCAATTTCAGAATTTGATGCTCAGCCCAAACTAAAATTAAAATTGGAACAAATTGCAACATGATGATTAAAAACAGGTATCGATAATGTTTATCTTAAATTACATTGAGCTCCAATTTTCTGCGGCTGGCGTGTCGACCACCGAAATTACTATAAAATAATATGTAACATAAAATCACGAAAATTCTTTGATGATAAAATTCACATATTAAGAAACAACAAAAGAGAAGCACATACTGGGTCCCGGCATCAACGTAACTATATTCATCGACTGATCATTGACAATCGTAAAATTAACATCTTTAAAGGTCTTCATGTGCTTTCTTATGCTGTTAGGAGAATTTGAATATGTGGAATCACCAATTGCACGAATCGTGTAAATTCCCGTCGCCAAATCATTGTTATTGAGCTGATGACCTTTAGGTACATAAATGTCAGGATCAACGAACAATGTAGTATTAAATCCTCGATCATTATCGAAATCTTGTCGATTGACATTGTACAAATCATCGTCGATTACTTTTCCGCTATCGGCATCTAATACTTGCAGCATTACATTTTCGAGAAGTGCAAGTCCTTCGTACTGGATTTTTATGACAATTGGGATTATTGAGCCGATAACGAATTGTTGATCTGTTGTTGGTGACATTATGTATATTTGGTCTAAGAGAACCGAAATATGAGCCATTAATAGATTTTTTATCTGATCAAATAAATTGAAATTTATATTTACCTGACTTAACATCAAGAATACATAAAAAGAGAATAGTCAGGAGAATCCATAATAAATTCATTGTCTTCATTTTAATTCTCATTATTTTTATATACAAAAATATGGGCTTTTATATTGAAGTTTGGCAGTGTGGGAATTTCAAAAGTAAATCATCACGTTATTTTACGTTATTTCACGTGACTCTAGTGTTTTACCGATCTTGGTGACCAATAGCTCGCTCGACCTTCTCACGTGGTATCACGAGAACTAATCATCTCTCACGCGATGATAAATATATAATCGGCTGATGATAAATTAGTATTGAGATTAGATCAAGATGGTTTGTTTTATAAGTACATTTATCAGCATAAACAAAAACACAATCAAAAATACGATAATATTGTATTAGAATAAAGTAAACACGATTATGTATGCGAAATTAGGGACAGCTTTATCTCCACGGCTAATATAAAAATTACATGTGCGTGAAGATTCTTCACGCCGATCACTATTGCCAAGAAAAAATAATTTACATTAAGTGATTTTATACGTTTTATCTAAAGAAAAATGCTATATGAATTGGCCGTGCCAGCTCCATTAATATATATATAAAATCTTTGTGTGTGTCGAAGACACTAGCTTCGCTGTTCTGCGAAAGCAGACCTTAAGGGTTATCTTATAAAATTTTTATATGCATCAGTTTGTTGCAAAGCAACTTCCACCTCCTTCGAGTAATTCCAAATCTGGTATTGGATCTTCGGCCCTTAAACCGCATCGTGCACGTTTCAAATCTAAAGTATAAATAAAACAAAGAATATAATTAAATAACTTACCTATATGTCTTCTCCTACAATCGGTAGATGCTGGTGGAACTCGTGTTTGCTTCGGGTTGGTTTATCAAGTTATTTTTAATCTTATACATTATTAAAAGTAAAAATGATAAAAAATAATGCATTTACTTTTGAGAATCAATTTTTCATCGTACTTATTCTTCGGCTGACCCAATTATAGCAAAACATGTTAATACTTCAGTAAGCATTTCATTCATGAAAAATTCTGCAAAATTGTGTGTTATGGCAAAAGAAAAAATAGAAAACCGAGTACCTTCTTAAATTAACGTATACATAACCCAAAATATCGACGTTTTTTGATGCTAGGAAGAGTGAAAAAGCGCCAATAGACAAGTCCGTCTAACACCCCCAGAAGATTCACAAGTCCCATAAACCTGTCGATGGCAAGGCAAGGCAAAGCCTTGTGACCGACAAGGCGTAGGAATGATATCAGACCTTTCACAAAGACCTGCGAAGCCAAAATTCGGATAGGGCATGGCGCAGGTTACTGTGAAGGAGCTGATAGCATTCCCCTGCGCCTTGTCGGTCACTTGGCTTTGCCTTGCCATCGATAGGTTTATGGGACTTGTGAATCCGAGGGTGTTAGCAAGAAACGTTTGAAAATCAAAATAAACGATTATCTTGTGATTTGATTGGTCTATTAGGCAATGTTTATAAATCGGGGATCTGCACTACCTCAACAGAAATTATGGAAACTTGCCCGACTTTATAGACGTGAACGATTTTTTTTCAAACATACGTCTTCCTTAATTTGCTGAATATTTTTCACTATCGACAGGAACAAACGTCGCTTCGGGTAAGGTGTTGCACCTGAGTATACTTCCAATTCTCAAGTTATTTTGTGTAGGCTGATAGGAAATCAATGGAAACATCACAAACTAAATACAACATTTGCCGAAGCTGATACATTCAAGAGCGGATACCGTACACCAGAAGGTCGGAATAAATTATCAGAAAATAATCCACCTTCACTTTATGAAACTAGCCCAGTTCACATTCATAATAAGCCCAAATCCTTTTATTGTTGAGCGTTTGCAGGAAGATAAATGTCAAAGATACAAATTTTCAAAAAATAAATAATAAATGTCAATCTTCTGAAAAGAAAATTGATATAATTATTTTAAAAGAAGATGAGAAATTTTATATTGTTGAAGTTAGTGATTTTCTAATGAAAAAGAATTGAAGAATGCTTAGCTAAAAATGTTAAAGATTTTAATAAACTAATTTGCAGAGCTTTATTTGGATTTTAATATTAGGTTAATTAGAATATATGAATTATAGTTATTATTAAATGAAGATATAAAATATAAATCAGTTATTATATTTCAAATTCATAAAATAATAAATAAATTCATCATTATATTTAAATATTATAATTAATAATAAAATCTAGTTTTATTATTATATAAATAATAATATAAATATGATTTGATTATTAAATATAATTTAAATTAAATAAATTTAATATAATTATTATTACAAGTTATATTTAGAAAGATAGATTTTATTTAGAATATAATTTATAATTATATATTAAATTATAAATTGAATTATTTATAATATTAAGTAAAATTAAAATTATTTTAAAGACTTTTTAGTATCAATATTTATAAGTATTATATTAATACAATAAAATAAATAAAGAGATATGATTATAAAAATTAAAAAATATTAAAAAACTAAATTATAAATCAAAGATTAAAAATATAAATTAAAAATTATTAAGTATATTAACTTAATCTTCTTTTATTATCTTTTCAAATAAAAAAATAAAAATATTAAATAAAAATTAAAATAAAGATTTTTATAACTTAGATAAAGCTTACAAAATCTTTTCAATTAAATAATATATAACTTATTTAAAATTAAGATTTTTAATTATAATTATTTAAATAATAATAATCAAATATAATTTATTTTAATAAAAAAGATAATAAAAATAATTATTAAAATAAATATTTATAAATAATTATAAATAAATAAGATTTAATTATTAAAATTAAATTTAAACTTTAAGTATATATAGTAAAAGTTAATATAATAAATTATCAATATAATAGATTTTGTCTTATACAAACTTTTTTGCTAGAATAGAATTTTTATTAAGTATTATAGTGGACTTTTATATTAAATAATGATATAATAAATCCAGACTAATTTATTCAAATACATTTAATTTAGTTTAGCTTGATATAATGAATTTTATATAACTAAATCTGTTATATTCATACTAAAATTTACTATATTATAGTAAAGTCTGTTATACATAATGATATAATAAGATTTATTTCTTATTTTTCATTATACGTATCTAGCAAATTTATAAACTCAACATAATATTGACTTATAATCCTATTAATTTAAATAATAAATAAAAAAATACTTCTTAGTAAAATAATATAAATAAATAAACTCACATTATCTTAATAGTATTATAGAAAAAGAAACTATGTGAATATATGAAAGTTAATTCTGTACTCAAGCAAAAAGATATAGTAAAGATGTATAAAATATCAAAATAAGTAGTCTCAGATATTTAAAACAAGAAAAAATATGATTAATAATAGAGATAGGAATTCCAAGCACTAAGTAAATATATAATAAAAAATCTGTATTCATTGAAATTGATAATATTATAAAACTTTAGATAGATCTTGTATTAATTCAAAATAATATTGATCTGAATAATAGTATTATAATGAAATATACTTTGATATTTGTAAAAGAATTTGGATTTAAAAGTAAATTTCTTGCTTTATTTAAATAGTTAAAGAATTTCAAAAAGAAAAATAATTTATGATCATATAAAAAATATAATAAAATTGAAAGTATTAACATGAAAAATATTTTACAATTCCAAGTAGATTTGCAAGATATTCTCAAAAAATATGATCATTAAGCTATATTTAATTGTAATGAAATTATTTTATACTAATAACTAGAATTAGATAGATTAATTATATATATATCTTTATTAGACAAAAAGAAATCAAAAGAATAAATTATATTATTATTAACTTGTAATATCTCTGATAATGAAAAATTATCAATATTTTTTATATACAAATATAAGATATTATATATATTAAAGAGTATAAGTAAAGATATATTACTAGTTTGATATTACTAGAATGCTAAAGCATAAATGCAAAGAAATATTTTTTATTTTTATTTAGTATGACTAAATTTTTAAATAAAATTTGTGAATAAAAAAATTCTCTTGCTTTTAGATAATATTAATTGTCATAAGATACAAGATCCAGATAATTTATCTAATATTTGACTTTATTTTCTTCTATCTAATATTATTATTATTCTTTAGTCTTTGAATTAAGATATAATTTATAGTTTAAAGATATAGATACTATATTTTATATAAAGAAGTTTGTTCTATAAGATTTAATTTTATACTTAACTAACTTAATAATTATTTAAATATAAAACTTATTATCAAAAAATTTTATACTATAAAAAACTTTATATATATAAAAGACTTTCAGAAAAGAATGATGAATTCTCTAAAATTATTATTATTACTGTTTTAAGATTATGCATATGTAATTATTTTAAAATAGTAATAATAATTATATTCATAGTAATTATTTATTTTTATTGCTTTAAGAGATTATATGATTGATTATCTTCTTAATAAGATAATATATGCAAGATTTACTTCTGATAAAATATAATTATCTTCTCAATAAGATAATTTATATGTATTTTATTTCTAATAAAATTACTCTCTTAATAGAGCAAGAAGAAAATAAGATAAGATAAATGATAAAATATATATGTTTTATTAAAGAAAAATACCAATTAACTACTTCTAATTTAGTAGTTAATTCTTTCTACCAAACTTAATTATTCTTCTTGATTACTTCTTGACTCTCTATATATAATATTTTCTTTGCTATGCTAATTATAAATTATTTCTAATATAATATTTCACTTAATTTACTCAAGAACAAGTAGAATTTTAAAAGAATAATCATAAAGAATATTAAATATATGGTAATTAAGAATTGAAATTAGCAAAATATTAAACTATTTAAAGCTAAAGTGAGAAAAGAAAGAAAATTAATAATAATTAATTAGGAAATTATTAATTTAATAAAACTATAAATTAAATACAATATACATAACTAAATTAATAAATGAATAAGATTAAATATAGGTAATAATATAAACTAAAAATAGAATTAATAATAAATAAGATTAATTAATATAAATTTCCTATTCATCTAATTTAGTAGTAATCAGTAATTACTGTATCACATATTGTGATTGCATTATATACTGCACTGCATCTACTATATTACATAAATAGATAATTGATTACAGAATCTCTGACTTTAAGAAATTTACTTTATAAATCTTTTAATTATTATTGATAATAATTATTGGCTCTAGATTATTGAACTTAATATATAGTTTTAAGTGATCATCATTATATAAATTCTTTAAGACTTTTTTATCTTTATTTCTAAGTTTATATACTCTTTTATCATATACTTTATAAATATAAAATGGTTCTTTTCATTTTTCATCAAATTTATCATAATGCTAATGTTAAGTTTCTATTCATTTTATCAATACTTTCTGTTCTATTTGAAAAACTGTTAACTTTTGTTTTTTGTCATATCATTCTTTTTGTTTTAACTATTCTTCTTGAATATTACTAATATTACTAAGAGCTAGTTCTCATATAGTCTCTAATTTATCAATTAGTTTACATGTTCTTTTGACAAGAGCTTCTTTAAAAATAAGATTATCAAAATCTTTTAATTTAATATTTAATGATATGATTACTTGTTGATCATATACTAATTGAAAAGACTCAAATAAAATTATATTTTATTTCATTATTCTATTAGCAAATAAAACTAAGGATAAGTAATGATCTCAATTTTTTTTGTAAAGCTAAATATATTTTGATAATGAAGTACATAAAGTCTGTTTTAATCTTTTAATTAATCTATTAGTCTGTGGATAATAAGATATTGAAAGTCTATGTTTAATCAGATATTTTTCTAATAGTTTTTTGATAATTTCATTAATAAATATAGTTTCTTTATTACTAAGTATTTCTTTTGAAAATTCATATCTTATTACTATATCTTCATAGAAAAAGAGAATGATTGAACTTGTAAAAGTATTAATAATTGGTCTTGCTTCAGCTTATTTAGTTAAATAATTAATAGCAACTATAATATAATGATTTTTATTACTGATTACTAAAAGAGATCCTATCAGATTAATTCTAATCTTTTCAAAAGATATATTTACTTGAATAGGTATCATTTTATTATTCTTGTGAAATTGTTCTTTTTATTGATATATATCACAGACTTTGATATATGCATCTATATCTTTGTATATCTGAGGCCAATAATAATTTCTCAAGTATTATTAATATATTGAGATAATTGTATAATTCAGTATAATTATTTAAATTTATTTTCTTTTATAGATGTGTATGATATTCTAAAAAGTGAATCAATATTTGAATGGATTCTATCAGATTTATGTTCAACTTTGAAATTATATTCTTGTAAAGTCATTATTTAATATACTAGTCTTTTAGGAAGATTTGACTTATTAATTAATCATTTAAGCATTGAGTAATCAGTAATTAGTATAAATGAAATATTAGATAATAGATAAAATCTAAATAGTTTGATTATTCAAATGACTTCAAGATATTCCAGTTCTGTTGCAGTATATTTGTCTTCTTTCTTATTCACTCTTTTATTAGCATAGACAATTACATGTTTCTTCTTTTTACTATCATACTACACTAGTACAGCTTTTAATTCTAGTTCAGAAGTATTAGTAAAAAGATGAATGGCTTTGTAAAATCTGAATATATAATAATTAGTGATGAGATCAAATATTTTTTGAGTGTTTCAAAAGTTATTTACTATTTTTTTGTTCATTTAAACTCTTCATTTTTCTTGAATAATTTATATAAGAGGATTGCTATTTTGGCAAAATCTTTAATGAATCTTCTATAATAAGAGATAAGTCT